ACCCTTACAAAAAGACCTCATCCCCGAATGGAGCCAGGACTGTTACGGCGCCGGCAGGCGCTTGTGCGCCTTTGGGGGAATTCCGCGTGCCGATCTGGGAATTCTACGCGTATTTGTCGACCGTCGCGCGAAATTGTCGACCTTCGCGCAAAACAACGGATTTGTAGCTTCTGGCGCTCGACACGGGATGGAATACGAGGGATGATGCAGCAGCAGCAGCAGCAGCAGCAGCAGCAGCGAGGAGTGGAGGGAATGCGGGGAGATGAGGAGCAGAAGCAGTGAGGACGGGGAGCATTTAGCGCATCAGGACGGAAGTGAGGGTTTGATGCGTTGTGCGTGAACGTCCGCACCATGAGCAGAACACAAATAATGTGCTCGAAACAGACAACCAACACGCGATTGATCTCAACAGGAAATCACCAAATTAAAACCAACACATAACCAACCAGTAACAACACAGCAATCAAACAATAGCCAAAACAACCAACACAGACCCAAACCAACACTAAACATAAACAAACAATGACCAAACATAACCAACATATAGCCAAACATGACCGCGCAAAGAGCGGCAGGCGCCGCGCAAAATTCCATTCTGGACGATTTTGCAGCACGAAGCGGAAGGATGTCCCGAGCCAAAGTGGCGACGCCAGGGTTTCGCGAAATCGCGAAACTGCCGCGCGAGATTTCACACCGCGCGATTGCAACCGCGAGTATATGGTGCGCAGTCGCGCGATTCCTGGACCAGGACATGCCAGCCGACGCATTAGATGCTCTCAAAAGGCGGTACTGGGAAAGTGTTCAGACGCCATGTGCGACTTTGCGAAAGATTTGCGAATGTAGCCAGCTCGTTGCGAGCGTGCAGCCTCACCGTTGTTTTCCCTTGCGCGACAGGCCTCCAGAGTTTGCCCGAATTCCATCCCATCGTCACTTTCTCTGGGGCCATCGGCCATATCTTCTGCCGTTGCCAGTCAGGCTCAAGCCATGGGCCGCTGCGCGTTCTTGGGGCGCGCTCTTTGCCGGGCGGGACGTCCAAAGTCGCGCGCGGCGCATGGGCGAGCCCTTTCCCTGGCGTCGCGCCTGCTGTGAGAAACTGCAATGCGCGACGGGCGCTGTCTGAAGCGCGTGCTCTGGGTGCGTCCCGCGATGTCGGCGCGGCTGCTTGTTGGCCGCGTGGGATTCCCACATGGTGCATAAGCGTTCTTGGTTTTCTTCCCAGCGCCTTAACATCAAAGACGCGCCGCACCGCGCTGCGCGCGGCGCCGGGACTCGGAGGTTCATCAACCTCCTACCCTGACGCGTCGATTGGCGAGATGGCCGTCTTCGGTTCGCGAGAGGGCGTCGCGGCCGCCACTTTTGCGGGTCCAGGTCCGTCGGTTTCGGTCCTGGGCCGTTGTCATTGAAGGGAGGCTTGCTAGTGGGAGGCTTGCCCACCGCCGAGGGACGCCCGCTCGGACCGCGCGGCGCCGTCTCGCTGCACACCGCCACCGCGCGGCAGCAGGCCGTGGCCCACGGCGCCGTCACCGGGCGACGCGCGGCACCGCACGGCGGCCCCCCGCGCGGGGAGTCCTTTGGGGGGGGGGGCGCGCAGGGCCCCCCTCGCCCCGCGGCGGTGCCCTCGGCGTTGGCCTTCTCTTGCGCGGTGCGCGCCAAGGGGGGAGGGAGCCTCCATGACCCGGGCCGAGCGACAAGGGTGCCGAACAAAAAGAGCTAACAACAACAAAAACAAAGGGGGGGATAGGGAAAGGGGGGGGGTGCGAAATCTGCTGCATGCAGCTGGTTTCGGCCCCGCCGCCAGGCCCATTCCTCGATACATGGGCGCCTCCCGGCGCCGGGAGGCGCCGGGAGAATCAGCTACGTGAGCTGATTCTCGAGCCCCTCTTTGCTATCCCCCCGTTGCGCCCGGCCCGAATGACGTTCGGTAGAATTTCGTGGGGGCCTTGTATTGGCGGCGCGCACAAGAGGGATAGGGGGGAGGGATGAGTCCGGAGGGCTTCATGGGAGGCTGCCTCTTGGAATGCGCGGGCCTTGTCTATGGATGTAAGGCCCACGCCTTTGAAGAGCAGCCTCCTTCTAAGCCTTCCTCCCTCCCCCCATCCCCTGTGCGCGCCGCAAATTGCATGTCCGCGAAACTCCGTCGTTGGGGTAGCCGAGGATGGGGGGGGCGACATCGAGTCAACGCAGGAGAGAGGGCCCACGGCGATCCGATGCGATGCGATTGGATTCGCCGGCTGGGCCCGGCACTCCGATGCGATTCGGTTCGATTCACCGGCATCGGTTGGAGCTGGCCAGAGCTTGCCGCGGCGATCCGATTTCGATGTGATTCGGGATGATTTGTTGGCGATCCGAGGCGTTTACGATCCGATCCAAAGTTTCAAAATTTGCTGCAGCGCAGGCCTGACGAAGAGGAGGCCGACGACAGGCAATGAGGGCGGAGGAAGTCCGCGTTTTTGGCTGATCGAGACACTGCGTCGCTCCGCGGCTCTCGCGGCGGCGCTCCGGCCCAAATTTGAAAAGTTCGCCGGCCTCACACCACGGCACCGGGCACAGCAGGGCAGGCTGACCGCATTCAGTTTCGACTGGCCTCGTCGTGGCCAGCAGCACACGGGAATCCCGTGACCTCCATTGCGTGGAAGCACAGATATTTTGAGTCAGACAGGCCAGGATCCACAGACATAATTAAAACAATTTTGGGACATTTTCCAAAATAAACCCCAACGTATGTCAAAAGTATATCTGGGGAACTTCCCGAAACGTTCCAGCCCCCAGAAAGCATTTCCAACATATTCTGGAAAGTATTTGCCATGTGTTTGCCAAGTATGTTGTAAGTATCTCAAAGTGTCTGGGAAAGTATTCCGGCCCCCTGGAAGTTTTCCCAAAGTATTCCCGCAAAGTAATGTCCAAGGTGCTTAAAACATTTATCCACCGTATTTTCTTATAATTTCCGCAACATTTCCAGCCCCACGAAAATAGTCCTAAAGTATATCCAGAGAATTTCCGGAACATGTCTGGGGACAGTTTAGGGTTTAGTTTGGATTTTTTTTTGTTTTTTTTCTGAAACGCCTCTCGTCTGATTCCGGCGGCTTATAGTGCGAGCCGAAAGCGATACGTAGGTGAGGCGAAGTTCGAACATTTCTTCGCGTGCTTGTCACGCGCGACCAAGATCGTGCGACGGTGCGCGATTCTGGGCGGCACCGAATTCGCACCTCTCACCGGCAAGGCCTGGGGATTCGCACAGTCGTGAAGGTCCAGAACATCCAACGTGTTGAGGAAGCAAGGCGGAATACTACCGCGGGGGGGGATCTGATCAGGGAGGTTAACACGGGCAGCCAAGCACAGTCCAACCGAGCGGGTTGAGCATAAATTTCTAGCAGATGTGCCGCAGAGGTTGTTTCGTGGCGTGGCAGCTGCGTGCCACGGCGTGGGCCGCATTGCAGCGTTTTTGTGAGGTGAGGCGGTTCACGATGCTTCATCATAGACGCGAAACGACGTGAGGTAATCGGCACAGGGCGCAGGCGGGATGAATATGGACGGGGTGGGAACTGAACGGTTCAGACCATGGTGCTTGTCGTGTTGTGGGTGACGTTGGCGTGGAACTACCACGACGCGAAACTGCAGGCGGCTTGTGGGAAGCGACAAGCAAAGCAACCGTGTGGGATACGTGTGACAGATGCGGATGCGGAACGGCACGTGATGTAGCGCGTGGGCCTCCAGTCATCGTCGACCCCGCCCGCCTTTTTTTACTGGCGCGGGGCGGTTGTACACTTCGGCGCCCCATTTTCCCAGCGCGTCGTCTGCGCAGAGCCCTCGCGAGGGACCGAGGGCGCCTCCGTTTGCCTGCTGCGGCTTTCTCTCGCTGAGTCTCGCTGGAGTTCAGTCGGGCCTGTCCCCCTACAGGGGGGATTTTGGACAACAAATGAAACATAGTCAAAACATACCTCATAATATTCAAGAATGGTCAAATAACCGTCCCCAGACTATTTTTTGTTATTTTTGAATATTCCTCCTGTAGAGGGACAGGCCCGACTTGACGCTGGAGATCGGGGCAGGGCTGGGGATGCGAAGGGCAGGTGGTGCGCACGCAGGCGCGACATGTCGAATTCTGCCCTCAGTGGCGGCGCAGGGGACGACCTCTGCTCACGCTGGCCCCCCAATTCAGCGCACGCAGGGAGGAGTCCTCTGGGGCCAAGGTGCATTCAAAGGCCCGCCAGGGCCTTCGACATGTATACCTCAGTGGGTCAACGAGTGGCCGGTCGTTTACTCCATTATCTTGCTCGTTCGTTTTCTGCCTTTTGCCTTCCACCTCTCAGCCACTCGGTCTC